AACTGTGATGGGGAAAGAAAGCAGGTTAACTGGTTTTGAAAGACCTGGGAGGTTTTGATGCTTGTTGCTAATTTGTTTTCTTGATCTATGTGAGCAGTAGCCATGTGGAGGGGAAAAAGAACAGTAAATTATCAACGTGGTGAAGTTCTTTGTGTCAGTTTACTGGTCTGAGTTACTATTTCTCACAGGGCAGAAAGTGCTAGTTGTTCTCATCTGACCATCCCTCATTTCAGATGGATATTTTCCAGGTTTCCTGTCTGTGAAACATTTGTGGTTTTCCTCTTTCCTTAAAGCAGTCGGATGATGAATATGGGCACCATGTGTAAGTGTCTGTTGAAGGGCTTGGACTGTGCTTCAGTGACTGCATGTCAGCAGAGCTGCCATAACGGGATATTTGCATGCTCTTAGCCCATGGAAAACCCATTGCTCTGGGTTAAACCTCAGAGAAGGTTTATGCTCTGTGGTGTTTGCTAAGAGCACACAAATATCCGTTAGAGCAGGACAGCAGGCATGTGCTAGCATATTAAGCCTCAGCTTTGCCACACCAGCAGTGGCTATGGTGTGCCACAGGCATTGCTTCACTGGTGTGGGTGTTGTGTCAGTAAATACTGAACTAATGTGAGTGCTTGTGCACATGTCATTAGGTATGATGGGTTAAGTGGTAATCTTGCAAATCTTTCCTCACCTCCCTCTCATGTAGAGGGGTGAAGGGAACAGTGCTTTCTGCTCTTCATTGTGGCAGGAGGGCTTCCCCACTTCTTAACAGCAACTTCAGCCATTGCTTCACCCATAGAGAAGTGCCAAGTCTGCCTCATGGGGGCTTCTGAGCCCTGGCTGGGGAGGGAGGAGGGAGAGGATGGAGGTGGGCTCTGGGAGCCCATGTCCTGCAAGGGCTGGAGAGGAAGAGGAGGGTGACTGCCCACGGGGGACGAAGGAGCCTGCTCACATCGCTTTCCTTCCTCTCCTGGCAGCGGTGGAGGGGCTGCCGGCAGCAAACAGGCACGGATGTGTCTTCCAGTCCTCCTGATTGATTATTTTCAAGTGCCTGCTTAGTGGAGCTGCTCCCGAGGGGCTGCTGCCTCTCTGCACTGACACCTTCCCAGCGCGAGCTGCGCCTCTCTCTGCTGCTGTCCTTTTGATCAAGATCTAACAGCCTGTGCCGGCAATGCTCCCGTCCCTGCTAGAGTGCCTGTCACTGCTGTCGGTGCCAGGGACCTCCCCATCCTCACTGCAACTGCTGCTGGCAGAGCCCCTGGGGAGCACGTGCATCATTAGAGCCTTTTTCCCTTTCAGAATAAATCCCCGCCGCGTTCCCCTGAACCCTGCTGTGCCCCAGCAGCACTCGCCTGCCACGAGTCCCCCGTCCTGTCACTCCTTCCTTCCTGACCCTGCATCAAAGAGCTTTTCTAGTTGGAGAAGGAAACCTCCTCCTCAATGGTTGGGCTTGGTCAGCCCTTTTGCATGGTGCTGCATCTGGTGGCCACATCCCTGCTGGGTCCCCATCCCTTCTGGCCCTGGAGCCAGCATTGCTGTGGGCATTGGGCTTGGCAGTGAAGCTACAGGACTACTAAGTGGTCTTTGCAGGAGGTGAGCAGTGTTGGAAATGCCACTTCAGAGCTGGGCAGCGTTTGGCCAAACACAGGGAGCTGAGCTCACACCTGAAAACCTGAATGTCTGTTTCAGACAGAGTATAAATCAGAGTGTGATGGTTTTATACATTTTATGGTCAAAAGAGTGTTTTATAAATCCTGCTTTGGTCTCAGCTCCCATTTACTGACATTCTCAGGTGACCTTGGACAATTCATTTCATTTCTCTGTTTTGAAATATTGAAATCACTCTATAATACGACGATAATATCGTATTATTCTAAGCGTGAACATTTAGTATTGTGATTTAGAACAATAAATCTACATGGGGTTTAAAGGCAGTCTGAAGTACTGAGGGGGAAGGTATTGTTTTTCAGATCTCTTGGGGTTAACCAGCCGGTCATATGAATTTATTGTGCATTCTGGTCCTCATAAAAAAATCTGCATTTTATGGCTTGCAGTGAAATGCATTTAGTGAGAGAGTCAGCTCCTAAGTCACACTGACACGGTGATTTGTCTTGGATTTTGCCCATTTAGACACAACCTCAGAGTCATTTTATCACTCCCGTTTAGCCCCTGTAGGAACAATTAACAAGTGAGCTGCTCTGATCTGTTCTTGCCCTTGGACCACTGTGAAATCCCCCCACTAACACCCCAACTTCAGCCCCTGAGATGCTGTGAAAGGGTAATGCTAAAGCAAGCAGGAAGAAAGGACATTTTTTCTTGGAGAAGAGCCCTTGCAGATAGTTTCTGGTGGCTCACTTCTCATTAACAAGCTTTTTGGACATGGGAAAGTCCATGTTCAGAGGCAGCATGGGATGGCCCCACCACAAAGCCCAATCCTTGACATTGTTCAGCTCCCCAGCCTTCCCTGTGCCCCTCTCCCGCTCGGGGGCAGACCACCAGCCCAAGTACTTCTCTCTGCAGGTGCACAGAGCATTTTTGCCAGCAGCAGCTGTCAGATTGCTGAAATTCCTTAAACACTGCTTGACCTCAGCATTTCTGTAGTATAACCCAGCTCTCGTCGGAAATGGGGAGAAGACTGATGCAGAGATGGTCAGTGTTCCTGTTTGCTGATGGGGAACTCGGAGTATCTCCTTTTATCCCTCCTTCCAGCAAATGGGAGTGAAGGCTGAAGGGACCTTTGACTTGGGCATAGTCAGGATGGATGTGAGTAAGAAATGTTTTACAGTGAGGGTGGTAAAACACTGGCACAGGTTGCCCAGAGAGGTGGTAGATGCACCATCCCTGGAGACATTCAAGGGCAGGCTGGGTGTGGGTCTGGGCAACCTGATCTCGTTGAAGACGTCCCTGCTCCTTGCAGTGGATTTGGACTAGATGAGCTTTGAAGGTCCCTTCCAACCCAAACTATTCTATGATAAGGCACTTCTTAGGGACTCAGGAGAGGGGGTTCAGCTGTGGTATACCAGACACAGGAAGATGGTTTTGTCCTGTGGTCCCATCCTGTCTGGTGAAATGTGGTTTCTTTCACTTGTCCTGTGCCTGCCAGGTCTCCAGGTTCCTTGTGCTGGGCTTTATTGTATTATGGGTCTGTGCATCATCTTGTACAGTGGGTTTCATTCTTGCTTGCTGCCACTTGGTGCTACTGTAGCACAAATAAACGATGAGTGATTGCATCCTGAGCAATGATTGTACCATGATTATAGCAGAGCAAGGGGATGCATCCTCTCCCAGCACCCAGTTACACCAGAGTGGGCCAGGACAGGGCTGCTGTAAAGGCAGGGAAATGACCACCCATGGGCTGCAGTCATCAGAGGAGTTTCCTTTGAGTTTCCTCTCACGAAGATCCTCTTTGGAAGTCAGGGACTGGCACCTTCATCACTGTCTGTTTCCCAGGACAGGGCTTCTGGAGCAAATGACACACCAGCAGCAAGAGAGGATGCATGCAGAGAGGCAGATTTAGCCATTGTGGACTGCATGGATTATTTTATGGCTTGAGATGCTGAAAGATAAAGCAACTCCTTCCTTTATTTGCATTCCTGTCTGCATAAGCTGTCCTGCAGCTTGTGTCCTCCCTGTATGCCATGTTTATCCTGCACATCTGCTCTCTGCCGTTCACAGCACAGTTCCTTCTTTATGCTGCCTATATCTGTGTGTTAACAGGGCTGCTTGTGACTGGGTCTGTTGGCTGCAGGGTTTTCCCCAGGAACATCAGCACACTTGAAAAGTGTTCAGTATCACTCATGCAAACGTTGTGCTCCTTTTGTTGCTTGTACACCTCAGATTTGTTGAGGCTTACAGCAGCCACATCATTTGTACTTCGAGGATGCACGAAGCCCTTGGTGTTTCCATTAAACAGGAGAGAATGAGATGCCTTTTAACACTGATGTTGTCCTTGCAGGCTCCCACTCCACTGTTTACAAGGACCCCATGATACTTGTTGGCCCGGAGAACCTCACGCTGACAGTGCACCAGACCGCGGTGCTGGAGTGCATCGCAACCGGCAACCCCCGGCCCATCGTCTCCTGGAGCCGCTTAGGTAAGCCCAGGGTGTCTGGGATTTCCTCCTTCTCTTCCTCTCCCCTGTCATCCTGTGGGAAGTAGGTAGGTGCCACTGACTATTTTATGCAACAGGTGATTTGCCCTTTCCCTTCCCGTGGAAGTTAATTGTAGGCTTGAAGTGCTTTTTATCCTCATGTCTACGCTTTGTTTTTCCTCTCTACCAAGATCCTGTTTCTCCTGTTAGCAAAGTGGGTTGGTTAAACCTGTTGATGTTTCATGAAAGGTGATAATTTTGTCTTTTCTCGAGTGACAGCATCTTCTTCAGCTGCATCAGAAACATCACCACTGTTGGCCTAGAGAAGCAAAAGCATACACAAACACATCCTTCATGTAGAACAGACTTGAAAGAAACTTGCTGCCTCATCAGGTAGTTTTAAAAATGAGGGGAAGAGGTGTTTAAAGTAGCATATCTGAAGCTCTAGAAAACTCAAATGCTTCCATGATATTACTTTAATCAGCATGGAAACCAGAGGCAGTGTCTTATGGCATCGTTCAAGTGAGGAAGAGCAGAGTGCCCTGTTTCTCCAGTCCAAAAGAAAGGATTATTTTGGCTTCCTGAGGTCTCCTGTATCACTGGTTTGGGTCTCTTGGACACAAGGCAGCTCTATGGTAGTGCTCAACTATAATAAACTACTCTATAATTGCCTTTAATTATAAGTGCTTATTACCTTCTTCAAAACACTTGTCTCTGTAAAGCAATGCAATAATGAAGATGTGTAAGGGCTTCATGTGATATTTGTCTGGGTGGTCTGAGTTCAGCATTGCCTTCCACCAAAACTAAACGCCCCCGCCACGCTGCTTTGCAGCACAGCAACAGAATTAGAGCTACTGAGTGGGAAAGAGATCCTGTTATTTTCCCTCCCCTTCAGCATAGATGTTTCCTGTCCAAAGCATCACAAGATCTTGTTTAGTCTTGCACTGATCTCGACAGCGACGTGGCTGTACAGGCTCTCTGATGAGTTGATGGGTTTGTCATCTCTTTGTAGCCATTTCAGAAGCTCTTTCATGTCTCTGTCTGTGTGATCAGGAACAGAGAGAGGGGTTTATGCTGGACAGGGAATCCTCTGAGTATCTGTCATCTGTACATGTGGCTTCCTCCTGTGTGAAGGTGGTCTTCCTGCAGTTCCTCCTACAGAGCTGGTTTAGCTTAAATAACCACTTAATTTATTCAGCTTAGGAAAAAACCACTTTTAATCCACTCGCAGAAAAAAAAGTCCATGGGCACAAAGTTTTAGAGCTGCAGCTGATTTAGGAATAGGCCTGACTTAATTTAAACAAAACCAAAAGTCAGTTATATGTGAACATCTTTCTTGCCTGGTCAAAATAAAGAAGAGTCGTGGCATGGCCACTGTGGCAGGTCCTTGCCCAGGGCATGCTGCTGTTTCACAGTGTCTCTCGGAAGCCCTTTGCTCACAGTTTTGATGTTGTGGCATTTCTTCTATCAGAAAGGAGTAAAAGAACACTTTTGCTTTCACAGCTTCCTGGTGCAGGGCAAAGCAAGCCATAAACAACATTTGCACTTTTTGCTTTGGCTTTGCTGAAGCCTGGCTGGTTTTCAGTGGGAAAGGCAGCTATATTTTGCTTGAAGGAAACCATTCAAATTCTAGGCCGGTTTTTGAGTGTCACACAATCAATTTTGAATTTAATTTCCTTGGGAATATGTTGTAGCCCCGACCACAAACAGAATTCCTGTGTCTCGCCGTGCATGAAATGTCAACATTCATTAGAGAGCAGGCTCTGAGAGAAACGTAAAATCATTAAGGGTTTGTTCAGGGAAGATAGGGCTTTTCCTTTCAGAGCTACACACTTCAGGCTTGGACCTGTATGTGTGCACAAATGAATATCCTGGGCACTTACTGCAAAGCCTTTTGAATGAATGACGATTTTAATGTATCCTTACCCTTTAACTGACAGGCCACTGAGCTGGCCTCCATAAAAGGTACCAAGGCAGAATAATAAACTATTTAGAGAGATAGAGAAAAGTGAGGCGAGAAAGAAAAGACAGTGATTATCTGATAGCGTTATACAGAAGTTGTCAGAAAGGGTCACACAATGGGAAGGAAATTACTAAAGAGGGAGCCATTCAAGAAGTAAACTATACAACAATTGTAGGAGCCAATTAATTGGTAACTTATTGGACACAGAAGCTTGTAATAGATGGCTGACTGGTTGACAGGAGCACCGTTGCTGTAAGTGTTTAGAAATAATAGAGTAAATTTCACCACTTCACACACTGAATAGTCAACTGTTGCAATGTACTCTAAATATGCTAATCCACAGTGCCCAGTGTCCGCTGGAGCAGGAGACCCATGTGTCTAAAAAGTGGAAGGCTACTATGGCACAATACAAAGAATTCACAAAAGACCTAAATGATCAACATTAGAAAGTTGTTACTTTCTTTCTACTTGCTGCTTACAAAAGAAAGGCGTTGGTGTTGTTGCATATTCATATCGCCTGGCACGTTTTAACGGGTCTCTGTAATTGGTGCTGCTGTGCCAATCACTCCGTTAGCGGGAGAATGGACTCCAGAAAGCATCACATACACCTTGGAAAAATAAATAATGCAGCTCCCAAGGCACAGGCCTCTTTCATCCAGGCTTCCCCCCAGTGGGGAGCCTGGAAGCCTCTTTTGTCCACAGCCAGAGCATCTTTTGGGAGCATCTCCCACTAGGAGAATCATCTCCTTTATTAATCAGCTGTCTTCTGTGCTTCCCAACCAGCTGAACCTTCCCTTTCTGCCCTCGTCAACTGAGGATCAACAGAGTGAATCTGTCGGACATTTCCACCCAGACTGGCTTGGTTTCAGCCCTCAAACTTTCTGCTTTTGACTTCATAAAAGGAAGTAGAAGGTTATGTTAATTGAGCAGCAGTTTCCAGCGTGTGTGGGTCCTGAGAGCTTCAGGAACTGACCAACAGTGTGAGTTTTTGCAGTCTCTCAGATCTCCTCCATAGGGAGATGACTTGGTGATGGCAAGTGGTGCCAGGAGGGTGGGTTTGCAGGGTTTGGATCCCTTGACCAAGCCACTCTTCAGGTCTCTGTGTGAGGCAAACAGGGTTAAAATAAACAGCAACCTTTGCAAAGCAGGTGTGGGACATCAGTCTCTCTGCACAGCACCCTGCAAAGTGCTGAGCTTTCAGGATGCAAGGGATTTCTTGTGTAAATACTCTGTATTATTTATGTGTGTTGTCAGTGTTACTCAGTTGGGCTTGCTATTAGCTGACAACCTTCTAACTGATCACAGGATGGCTTGGGCTGAGTGAGGCACAGTAGAGTAAGAAGGATGGAGCAGGCTGGGAAGGTAGAGCTATTTCTCTAGAAGCCCTTTCAGCACTCTTTGGAAGGAGAAGTTGAGTAAGAGGCATATGGGGTGTTCTGGCATGGTGATCTTTGCTGGCTGTTAGAGGTGGCCACGGTCTCTGAATCAGTGACAGATCCCCCGAGGTTTCTGAGCTTGGAGAACTTTATTCTTCAGGAAAATGAAGGATGCTTGGCTGACAGGAGACATTTCTTCGGAGCACACAACCTCTAATTGATAGTTGGGGCTAGAGAGATAGCTAAGGACGTATCAATGCTGATATTTGGACTGTGTGGAGTACCTGCTGCAGGCTGGGTCTTTGCATGCTTAAATTATGTAGCGTGTTATAAATAATACACTAAAACTACTGACATTCAAGTCACATTTCTGTGATGTTTCTTAAGGCAAGGATGTGATGGAGCTTCCAGGTATGGCCACTTCGCATCTTTCCCTGGTCCCATCCATCTCTCTCAAGAGGGATTTGATTTTTACACATAAATACGGACTTCCAAAAGGTCTAATTTAAAAGATGAAATCAACTTCAATTTGAATTTAAGTCAGACCTCTTTACACTTCAGTTCAGATGATGTTTGAAGGGAATGGTTCCTTGTTATTGCTCATTAAATGTGGGACAGGTCATGTTTTACTGTCCTTTTTATGACTGAGCCATTTACTGCTGCAGTGGCTTGGCCAGCGATGTGATCCTTTAATCATTTAATGACATTGTTTTTCTCTCTCTAAAAGACCCGAGCATTTCTCTTTGCAATGCAAATAATGAAGTGGTCTAGCAGTCCCTGCCTAATGAAGCAGGGAAACCTTGAAGTTTAAAAATTTCCTGGAAAACAATATGTAAGGAGCATGGCAAGAGATACGTTTGGGAAGTGCTTTGTAGCTTTCAGTCCATGTTTTACTGGGGTTTCCTAGCAGGATGCTGCTGTTAATCTGAAATGGGATCCCTCAATTCTAATGGTTTGCAAGGCTTGGGTAGCAGGGGAGCTCTACAGGGGTGGCTTATGTGAGAAGTCCCATCCCTGGCAGTGTCCAAGGCCAGGTTGGACACAGGGGCTTGGAGCAACCTGCTCTAGTGGAAGGTGTCCCAGCCCTTGGCAGGGGGCTGGAGCTGGAGGAGCTTTAAGGTCCCTTCAGCCCAAACCAGTCTAGGATTCTGTGAAGTGCCAGGGTGTGTGGTGTCCCTGCTCATGGCAGGGGGGGTTGGAACTAGATGATCTTAAGGTCCTTTCCAACCCTAACTATGATTCTGTGTCCAACAGAGCCAGTGCCAGACAGTTCTAAGGCAGACCCACCACTACTGGCCAAGGTAGAGCCCATTAGCGACAGGGTAACGTATTTAAGAAGGGGCGAAAATAACCTGTGCAATGGCAATTGCAGCTGCAGAGAGGAGTGACAACATGTGAGGGCTGGTTTTTGCTTCTCCTGTTCTGTAGGTTCTTCAAACTCCTTGATCAGAGGGAGGAGGAGAACTGAATTCCTGTTTTCATGCTGATGAAATTGTGCTTCCCTTATCTGCTCCTCAGTAAAACTACCCCCTGCCCTGCCCCTCTGCTCAGACACCCTGACACATGCTAGCACTGATCTAGAGCTGCCTTTGTCAGAAGTGTCTTAAAACACAAATCAATGAAACAATAAAAAGCAATAGCCTGATACTAATGAAACACATTGTAATTAGAGTTGGCTGGGAATTTTCCAGTAAAAAACAGGCTTTATTGGAAGAAGATGAATTCCCCGATACTGAACTATTTTACATTAAACACTTCAATTTCAAAGACCTTGTGCTGGAGCCCAGGCATGGTTATTTGGAAACACTGGTCTTCTCCTTCTCAGAGCATCTCTGTTGGAAACAGGCTGTTGAGCTGGTTAGATCTCTGGTCATCTAATATAAAAACCCAGGCAATGGCTCACTGAGGTTGATATGATTTAGCTTGGTTTAACTACTCTATTGAACAGTGTTCTGGGTGCTTCCTCTTAATCTGAACACGGCATTGAAAGCTTTCACATTTCCTGTGCTGGTACCTTGGTTTTTCAACTAGCACAAAGTGTGGGTTTGGGCAAACACGTGGGGATCCTGTTTTTGTCCAGAAGTCAGTTGTGCCAAGTGTCAGCTACAGCCCATTGACTTGACTTGGCAAATCCCAGTAACAGAGCGTGGCACCACTCTATAAGCACTTAGACTGGACCTCCCCAAGGGCTGTGCCCTGAAGAACCTCATACAAAGGTGTCCAGCATGTGACCGTTACCCTTTTCCTCTTCTTTCAGACGGCCGCCCCATTGGCGTGGAGGGGATCCAGGTGCTGGGCACAGGAAATCTGATGATCTCAGACCTCACCGTGCAGCATTCGGGCATCTACGTGTGCGCCGCGAACAAACCCGGCACGCGGGTGAGGAGGACCGCGCAGGGCAGCCTCGTTGTACAAGGTGAGCAAACCCGGGGCTTGCAGAGCAAGGCTGCCCACTCCGGTCAGTAGCAACCATGAATCACTTGTGCAGTGGCTTCACCCCGTCACAGGCTTTCATTTGGTGCAACAGACACTAGTTGTTACTTGTTACCACACTTGTACATCTCAGCAGAAAGCCCAACCTGAATTAATCAACCAAAGTCATCACTCACCCCTGCGTGGTGATATGGGGACCTGGGCACTGTTCTCATATTGGACATCTCTGAATGATAGGTCCCACTCCTGTAGTGATATCCAGGGATACCTATCACTCATAAAGTATTGCTCTCCAACTGAAATGGCACCAGTAAGTCTAAAAAATTTCCAGAAAGTCAGTGAGACTGTTTCCTTTAGCAGCTGACACTGCGTTTGAGCCCTTTGCCATGACATGAATAAAGCATCCTTTGGGGGCCGTGCCCAGGAGGAGTGCAAGTTGCTCCCCTTCCCCACAGCAACTGTCCTGAGATGCTACTTCTCTGGGTCAGCCCAGAGAAGAGATCAGCACTCAAGAAACCAAACAAATCCACTCCATGGACCAGTCTCCATGGTGAGGGGAGCCAGGCAAGTATTTCAGAAGGCAAACCCAGCTGGCAGCATGCTCTGAATGGCAGTAATCCGCCCTGATTACAGGCACTCACCTCCTCTTCATGCTAGTCCACTTAAAGCATCTCGTGCTCTCATCAGTTCACTCATTAACTATTGACTGATGATATCCTGAATCTAAAATTATACACCTCCTGCCGGAGTGAACTAATTGAACCTTTCATGCTGGTGATGGGGAAAGTGCCCTGCTCCAGCCCTGATGCTCACCTGACAGGTCCTGGGAGTCACTGGCATTGCACTGCTCATGCAGCAACCGTGGTCCCTGGGAGCTGGCTTCCCTCTTCCCCTTTGCCATGGGAGCAGCAAGGAGCAGTGTAGAGAGTGCTCCTGTAAGAGCTGCTTATGCCTTCTGAGTCCCAGGTGCTGATCAGACGTGAGAGGAGGTGAAAACTTACTGTTTCTTTTGCTGTTGGATTTCTGGGTGAGCAACAAAAAGAGGGGGCTCCCAGCTGGCTGGGGATGGGCAGACCCGAGTCCCCTTATTAAGCAACACCAGCCCAGGCATTAAGAGCAACCTCACTGTACTGATACAAACCCTGTAAATAGAGCTCCTGCAGGAGAGCTCTGCATGTGGCAGAGATCTACTAAACCCAAATGCTGAGCTGATGTCCAGGAGGCAGGCAGGCAGAACCAAAAGAAATTACTTGGAAAATCTATGAAGTCATAAAAATACAATTATCGAATACTGTTGATTGCTTCTGTTAGCAATTGGATGAGAGGGAGAAAGGTAGCACAACTTCTCATAGGTACAGGTGGGCAGCTTTTAGTCTTGTTGGTGATTTGAACACCAGCTCCTGAGCAGCTGGTTTAGTGCTGGAGTTCATCTGGAGTAGAATTACTGTGGATTTTCACTGGGGAATCAAGGTCTCTGAAGTGATAATTGCAGGGCCATTGGAGCCCAGTCCTGCTGGGGAAGGGGGATGCTCCTGGGTTCAGCATTAGCAGAGAAGTTGGCAGTGGGATGGAGAAGCATGGCCAGTGGTGTAGCCCTTAGACATGAGCCGCAGTGTCCAGCACCCTAACCTGTGTTGCCCATCCCTAAAATGCTCAGGGGGCTGTCATTCCCTAGGGAAGCTGGCCAGACGCTGGCCAGGCAGCTGAGCTCATCCCAGGTTTGCTCACCCTCCCTCTGGAAGCATTTTTTCCTTCCTCTGAATCTCATTTTGGCTGAATTTTCCAGCTGAGAGGTACAAATGATTGCTGTTAGGTTTGTCTGGGAAGAAAACAGCAATAATGACTGACATGGGAGACTGTGGGTTTTATCTTTGTCAAGATGTCAGCGATGCAAATTACATCCGTAAGGAGAATAAAAGCAAAGAGCGGGCTATCAAAAGCCTGGTTGGAGAGGAAGTTAGCACAGGGCTAGGACAATACAGCGTCCTCAAAGCGCGCCAGGCCAGGTACTTGCTGCCTTTATGCAGAGGCCCTTGAAGTGCCTGAAGGCACAAATTAACTTACCCCCTCATCTTTTGAAGGAGGCACATTTTATAGGTGGGAAACAGGGGGAGAAAGGGCGATGTTTCCTGTTGTAAGGCAAGGAGTTCGCGGGAGGCTGGGACTGAGACCACGTCCTCCCTCCTGCTGCCAGCGGTGGTCCTCGTCCCCGTCAGAGCAGCCACCTGGGCAGAGGTGTCCTGGCACAGGGCTCTGCTCTTGCTCTGGCATTAATGTCCTTTCTCATTGCAAGCTTTCGTTCAGATCATCTAACGCCATCTTATTATCTTCCTGGGAATTCCTCCTCCCTTCAGAGGAGAAGGCGTCAATCCCCCGCTCCCTCCCTCCCTGCCCTCCCCTGGCCATTTAGGCTCCTTTGATCTCTTTTGTAAGGTTCTCACACAAGAAAGTTTCCATTTTCTCTTCAGATCCCAGCGCAGGCATTTGAATATTGCTTTGTGCCGGGCTGCGAATCAAAGTCTCACGGGGGGAGTTGTTGAAGGGCCGAATATATGGCCGGCTGAAACGGAGGGTGTGCGTGCGTGTGGTGCCGGGGAAGAGCAGGCTTCGGTGGCAAGGCAAGAAAAATATATCAAAGCGCTTTCTCTCTACCTCCTGTGCAATCTTTTGTGCTTTATTATGTGTTTGGTGTCATAACAAACTGATGGGCTGTGAATGGCCAGATGGTCACCAGTGTTCTCCACTCCACGCTTCATTTCCTCCTGAAAGCTATGCAGAAAAATGAGATCCCATCTCATAAATGAGTGCCCATCTTAAGGACATGTTTTTGAAGGCTCTGCTGACAATGACTGCCTTGTTCGCCCTGCTTTCTGCTGGCAGAACCAGGCAGCGCTCCTTGGTCCAACAGATCCCGCCACCGCTGTGTTTCCTGATGTTCCTTCCATCATTCCTG